CACACACACACACACACACACACACACACACACACACACACACACACACACACAAAACCTATGTATATTGTTATAACATAATAATAATATTTATATTTAAATATTATAATCTTCCTTATAATAATATTTGCGAAGACTTTTTACAATATATATTTTTTTATATAAACATGCTGCAATGTTTAAGATTTTTTATATAAAGCATACTATAAAACTTTAAAAAATTACTTGACGTACTATTAATTATACATTTTTTAATAATTTTTAAATAATTTATTACACTTACGTATTAATATATATTGAACTATGATCACAACGCAATAATTACGAAATTCTCGAAAGAACTACTTAAACGATTGGGGTCAGATGAACGAGAGTATCGCACTTATTTGATGCTCATGCTGTGCTTCATGCACCATGTGATAAAGCTTATCTAAATTGTACTGTCTAGACGAAATAGTATTTATATGTGTATGTACATACATGTATGCTGTGGACTCTGGAATCTAATCGAGATAGATATAAAGCAGCTTCAAATCACTTCTTATTATGAAATCATTGTGATAATTATATAGTTTAACCTTGAACTGGTTATATAATAAATTTTGTTTGTTTAATATCAAAGTTTACAATTTTTAGTTATATATGTGTTTATTTTTCTTTAAATTGATATAATTAAGAAAATTAGGATATAACGACTACCTATTATATTATTTGTGCATATTCTAAGAAACGTCGTTTATAATAATCATTTATTATTATTATAAAACTGAGGAATAAGAAAATAAAGTATAAATAAATAAATATTAACAGTAAAGTATGAACAGTATAAAATAAATTCTTGCTTTTAGTTATTCTTAAACTGTTACTTAGTTATTTTCGATTATTACACATAGATTACAAATATTACACATAGATCAATTAACGATAATTGATTAAATTTTTTAATAAAAAATTTATTAAAAATACTTAAAAAATGTGTAATAATCGTTATATACTAATTAAAACAGTAAAATTTCTTATATAATTGTATAATTTATTAGCATTATATCAATAACAGAAAAGAATGATAAAACTCTAAGTAAATAGTTAATTTTAAAGATTTGAAGTTTAAAAAATTTTAAATAAGACGATTTTTGAACCAAGATTTTTTTATGGAATCCGGATGTTTAAATTCTTTTGATAATTTTGAATCATCCGTGTCTGCTTATGCGACAATCATATTAATAATGATAATACAGGCTAAATTATCTATCTGACTATGTAAACGGAATGAACTTTGTACTGAGGAGACATGATTATAAAAAAGAACAAAGAACCATCTCCCCTTTTTACAGTATTGAATTGTTCTTACAGTATTGTACTAGAAATATATTGTATAAGAATATCTTTCTTAGCAATAGAACATCAGAAAACAGAAAAAAAAATTATAACGTTTTTTTAAAATTGTTATTTTGCAAATTTAAAAGTATATAAATTATTTCACATATTATTTAATATTAATATATGATTTATATATAAATTAATATCTATTTTTTCTATTTAATTACACAATGGAATAAAGTGTCTTACTTTGACTTCTTTAAATTAACTAATAGAAATATCGCATATATTAATGCACTTGAAGAAGGAGAGCATTTATTCTTGCTTTCAATGGCATATTATTCTATGGGATTGACCTTCGTGTGTGTTACGCATTCTGCTTTTTTGGAAAAAAATGATACATTACCTAGTCATGGTCGGACAATGTAATAGTGTGAAATCGCTGAAAGTGAATATTGTACATATAATTGATAATTAAAAAATTTTTATTAAAGCTGTGAAGAAACATCTATATATTAGAGAAATATTTATATTTCTTATTTAAAAAATATCACATCTACACAATAACTATTCAATAATATTAAAAAATATATAAACAATTAAAATTTGTATAATAAATTTTTGAGTTTGTATAACAAATTTTAAAAATATGATGTTATTAAGAAATAAACAAAAAATTAAGAAATAAATACAAAATCAATGTTTATACATATATGTGCATATATTTTTTATTAATTTTTTTTAATTTATCTTAAAAATAGTTTTGCTTGTGGAATGAGAAAAAAGTATTTAAGGATTTGACCATGAGGATGTTTTTGTATCTGCTAACCACAGTTAACAGATGTCGTACTTCGGTCAGTTCACAGTAGTGGCTTATTCAAACTGCGTTTACTGCGCAGGCTTTCCATGTTATAAGTGTTCAACGTGCGTGACTGGAGTCAGCATTCGTGTTGAGGTATCAGACGCGTTCGAGAGTCACACCGGTGGAGAACTACCTGCTGATCCGCGTGTAATCCAACACGGTAAGTACCATTTGACGATAAAATACACAGTAATATTTAATTCTTTGTTTATTGAAATGTTATTTCCGAATGAGAATAGATTGAAGCTCCATTCTACAGTAAAGTGTTATATTTAAAAAATTTTTATTGAAGGTTGCAAAAGTGGTTGTTTTACATTTAACTGTTGTTACATGTACTTATACATTTTCGAGAATTCTTGCGTGACTTGTAAAAAGTTATATCATTATATAACACATTACACGAAGTTATCAATAATTTTTTAAATATATTGTTTTTTAATTTTGAAGTTGTAAAGTTTATTTAATTGAAAATTTAATTAAGAAAATTTTTCATTTTCTTTTAAGTATTCTATTAAATTATGTATTCACATATACAGTCTTAATAAATCGTTTATTATTATGTAATTTTTGTCACAATAAACAGTGCATTGAGATTGTTTAAGTATTATACAATTATTTGACAATTAATAAAAATAATTGAATAATTCGACAATTTATATAATTGTCGTAAATATCTAGAGTCTATCGACTTCTCAAGGACTTTGCCAAACTGGAAAATATTATGGTATCAGTATTCAAAGATATTAGTTATGTCTTTATTTATCGTCATGAAGAACGACGTCTAGAATTTCTGTTTCAACATTTTTGTAGAGTGACTTGATAAATTAAATGATTTAAAATTTTATGCTTTGACAAACTAATTAATTAAAATTTTATTTAATATAAAATGCAAAAATGTATGGATGTGAAAAATATTTTTATTGAGAAGTTTTAGAAAGTTTAATGTAAAGATTATTTATTTATATCATTAAATGCGCTATAAGAATATCAATAATTATTTTCAATAATGTCTAAATAAATCGATTATGTCAAGTTCTTAGTTTGTCTTAAAATAATTTGTTATATTTTTTTATATATGTGTTTAAATATAGTCTTAATAAAATTCTTTAGAAATTTTAAGCAAATTAAATTACTCTTATAATATATGTTTTTTTATTTAAACAGATATTATATTTTCGACGTACGTGTGATAAACTTGTGTGAAAGCATGGCGACGGAGGTGGCGCAACTTCCCCATCTAAAGGTCGTTGATCGCGTAATGGAATTACCCATTGTTGAGTTAGCGGTCGTCAAATCCGCAGAAACGTATTCCAGAGTGAAGAGTTCGTATCAATTAATGAATTGGGCTTTGAGCACGGCCGAATTTTCACTAAGTACCGCGACAAGACAAGCGATGCCCATCGCCGTACCTATCGCGAAAAGACTTGAAACTCCCATCAATTTCGTCGATAATACGTTATGCCTTGGTCTTGATAAAATTGAAGAAAAAGTGCCGTTGGTGAAGGAAAAACCTGCACAGGTTTGTGACAGAACTTTTTTTCTGTCATATAATTATAATTAATAAACATTAATTTATTACAACATATTCAGTTTGTATTTTTTAATAAATTAAAAGTTGAAACTAAAAAAATAATTACAATAATATATATTGAATATATTTTTTCTTAGATTTTAGAGAAGGCGGTATCAAGAATTTCGCATGTAAACGATTTGATTCTTGAACAAGCGACAAATTTGCGAGACATCAGCTGGAATACGGCCAATCAAATACTCGATACACGCTATGGCAGTGTGGCCGTGAGAGGTATAGATAATACGGCCGTTGTCGTTGATAAACTCATTGACAGATATTTCCCCGCAACAGAAGAAGAAAAACCGATAGGTAAAGAGTAAAATTTTAATTTTTTGACATTTCATTAAAACAATTAATGTTTATATATATATATATATATATATATATATATATA